CTCAGTATGGCTCGTTCAGTTGCATGTTAACCGGCAACTATTGTATAGTCTTTTTCGAGAAATCGCGATAGTGTCACTGTTAATTTAAAGTCTGCCACAATTTCCATCTAGATTTACCTTTATACAACTATCAGTAGTGAATAAATAATAATAACATAAAATAAGCTCCGTAAAGCTGACAAATCCACAAAATTTGGAATCAAATTCAAATGTGTCAAAATGAATCGTCAAACAGAACTTTATCAAGGATCCCCACCTAGAGTGCTTTTTCCGCCCACCATGCATGAATACATGGATAGCATTATGCTCCTTCCTTAGTCTTCTTATTCAAAGATAAAAGTAAATAATAAAGCGCCTCTCGTGTTTGTTCGCATACTAAAATTTTCAATTATTGCCTGTAGGATGCCTGTAGGTATATATTTTTAATATATTTTTTAAATTTACTTTTTTTAATTGTAAAGTAATATATTATATTTAAATGGAATATATTACATATCAATTATGTCAATTACAGGATTACAGGTTCGTTTTCTAACATTTTTTAAATAAAACGAATTATAAAAATTCTATGTAAGTATAAAGAAAGTAAAATATAAAATAGACAAACGCATACTTACATTGCAATAAAACTTCCACTTTTAGTTTTGCAATCCAAACGCAATATTTCTACTTCACGAAATCACTGAAACTTCCGCGGCTGACAACGAAAACTGAAAAATATAACAGCACTTTTTATTTTGTACCTGCATATCAACATTACGCTGTACCAATATGTTTTTGTTCTTGAAATAATATAAATTATTTAATTATAACTTGCGAATTTTCATATTTTAACATGATTTTAACTATTTCTGACAATAACTAACTTTTTGTTATCAAGATGACATTTTAGACGGCAACTGACATATATGTCATAATATTTTAATTTTAAATATGTATGTAATATAATTTAAATGAATATAATGGCAACTTTGTACTAAGAAAACATTTATACATTCATAAAATACAACAAAGCCGAATAATGTAGTTTGAAAACAATGAAAACTGAATTAAAATTTAAAAAGTTAAGCGCGACCCCTTGTGTCAAAATTAGATGATTAAATTTTCGCAATTTTTACACCATTTGATGACCGGTGGCGCCTCTAGTGTTTGTTCGGGCGGTTGGTCTTTTACTCCCGTTTATGGCCATTAAATAAAAAGTTCTAAAGGGGGATGTTTTGTTGCTCTTAGCGATTTTTATCAAGATACATTTTTTACGTAAAAAATGTCGAAAATGTATATTTTGTCACTCTGTATAGGTACGGACAAAAAGTTATTACACTTCAAAACAGTTAAAAAAACTTTGTTAAAAAACATGTAGGTGCTGCCCCATACAAATACGAGTCATATTGACATAGAAATCACGTCAAAAAACACGCAGACGCCAACTTTCATCCAAATATCGACTACATTTCAGAAATTATTTGAAAAAAAACGAAATCTAAATTAAACTTCTACACCCTGTTAACACACGAGGTATTTCAGGGCATAAGTTTATACGAACTTTTTTACTTATTTTTATCAGCTTAATATGCTGCCGAAGTTTCCCGATACAATTCGGACCACCCTGTATATTTAGTATTTATTTTTAACGTGACACTGTTCAAATTTGCGCGCGTAAAACTCGTAACTAAATAAACCAATCAGATTTCATCAGATTCGTTCGGTTTGATTATGTGCGATGTGTTCTGTGGATGTGTTCTTTTTCTCTTTGATTGTGATTTTCGGGTGTATTTTAAGAAACGAAATTAAATAATTCAGTTTTTATACGTAATTATTCTATAACAGATCGAAAAGATACAGATTATAGCGTCCAATTTCCCTTTCTTCTGTTTTTGCTCCAGTCAGCTGATATCGTTCGACAATTGAGTGTCCTTGAATGTCGTATTTTTACCTAAATAAGGAGCTTATTGTTAATAATTACGTTTTTAATCATACATAAAACTATATTTAATGTGCAGTGCCATGAGAAACAGGCGGAATAAATCGCGAAATCTCACAAAACTTAATAATAAAAGTAGAATCATTATTTACCTGTCCTAACCTTAAAATTTATTAAAAGGTTAGTGGGCTGTGTATGTGCTTGTTCATATTTTTTAAATACGTAATTAATCATTAATTTTTAGGCAGAATATAACCTTTTTTATCGATTTCGTAGTATTTAGACGTCAAAATTTTTAGTTTTTTTGCCCGGTTATTTTCCAAATTAAAACTAATAATAGTTTTCTTTAAATCTACAGTTAGTGCAAGTGAAAATGAAGAAGAGGACGAAAACGAATTCTTCGATGCTGTAGCGGACGGCGGGGGACAAAATTCCGATGCAAATGATCATTTTACTCTCGATATAAGAACCAGGACAGGCGTGAGAAGGAACAGCTCGGATAGTTCAAGTGAAGCCGAAGAGACCCAAGAAACTAAACAGGTAGGTACTGACTAATAATTTTTTTAGACAATATTACGTGTTTGTTTTGCATATTTTCAGTTGTTGCTTTCAAGATACATATTCTATGTTATGTTTTTTACTCAATATACTGAGTTTGTTTCTAGTATATTTATTGTTTTCCTACGAAATACACATTCTATGTTATAAGAATAACATAAAATGTTATATTTTATGGTAATTTCTAATATTTTTTTCAGGTTGTTGTAGTTACAGGTGGTAAACATCCTACTAATGTAGTAAATAGTGATGCAAATAAAACTGATACAACAGTGGCTTCTAATGAAGTTACCAAAGGTACTACAGTTATTAAAAATAATTAAAATTTAGAATTTTTATGTGCGTGCTTTAAAATTCAATATATTTTGTTCTCTTTGACTGATTTTGATAATTTTTGAAGCAATTTATAGCTAAATTATTTGACTGTGTCGATTTATTGCGTCAATTATACAAGGAAAAACAAAATAGTTTGAGTGAAAGTTTGAAACACATTGTGGACTAGTTTTAACAAAGTAAATTAACAACCACTTTATAATGAAGGCGGATCTTTTCTCAATATTTTGTTTTTTTGTATTTATCTCGATAGCTTTATTTTTGTGGGAGATATTCGCTTTTGAACAAGACAGTAACAGTTTACAACAATTTTAGCATTAGAAATTTGCCTTTGCTTTTGTTGCTGATCAATACACCTATGAAACAGCATTTATTGTTTTTGTAATGTCACTGTCATTAAAAAGTCATACTATTCTTGTTTGTTGACAGTTTATCACTCTACCAGAGATGGTTATACATCCAGAAGTTGTGGCCGCTATTGTTGCTTTAATTGAACATGTTAAAGATGAACTTCTGGACTTAAAGCCTCTCTGTGCAAGAATAAATACCAACAAACAATAATTTAACTTTTCAATGACAGTGACATTAGAAAAACAATAAACTCTATTTCATAGGTGTGGTGATTAGGACCAAAAACAAAGGAATGCCTTTAACGCTAAAATTGTTGTAAATTGTTACCATCTTCTTCAAAAGTGAATATCTCCAACAAAAATAAAGCTATCGAGATGAATCAAAAAACAAACTATCGAGAAAAGATAGACCTTGGTGCTAAAGCGGGTTTTATATTCCTTGCTTTGTTAAATCATTCTACAGGGTGTTTCAAACTTTCGCCAAAATAGCAACATTTTGTTTTCTCTTGTATAACAGACACATGGACACCTTTATTTTTAATTTATAAATTAGGCTAAAAAGTCAAATAGTTTAGCTTCAAATTGCTTCAAAATTTACTTAAATCGGTCCACTAGAACAAAAAATATTGGACTTTAAATTATATGACATTTTTAAGAAAATCCTAATTTTAATTATTACAAATTATTATCAAATTTTTAGCCAGTAGGCGAAAAAGAAGAACCAGGGTTCCTGATAAACCCAATTACCCCTTAAACCTGTGGTCAATTATGAAAAATTGTATTGGAAAAGATCTGTCAAAAATACCTATGCCTGTCAATTTCAACGAACCTTTGAGTATGTTGCAGAGATTGACAGAGGATTACGAATATGCTAGTATACTAGATCAAGCTGCAAAGTATGTATTTTTTTTAAATACAGGGTGTTTAAAATTCGGCACTCGTCACGGGAGTCTATCAAATGGTTAGAAATACAGGGTGGTTTAAATTAGGGCAAAGTTGTCTATCACTGAGCCCAATGATCATTTGTTTAGTAATCGGACTTATCTTTGCCATTTCCGGAAATATGGCTGAAAAACTGAAATTTCTGGTTGGGTTTTTTATTTTTTATCTGTTTATGTTAGTTCGAAAAAATCTATAAACACATTCTCAAAGAGACTTTTTTAGCTTTATTATCATCCTTCAGTCCTCTGGTGTATTCAGAAAAATTGAAAACTACTGAAGAAGAACCTCCAAAGCATATTTTGAATATTAATACTAAATTAAAATCGTGTATTCGTTATTTTAGTGAAAATGTTTATAAAAGTGAACGCTGGTTATGTGGTTGTAAGGCACACAATAAACTTTTTTGTTGACCTTGTCTACTATTTGATCTAACACATACGTTCACAGCTTAGTTTTTTATCTAAATTTAGTTCTTTTTTTAAATTGGTTTGATTACTTTTTTTAACCTCATTTTTTGTATATTTCATTTTTGTAACTCCAAAATTAAAAACTTTAAAAAAAAACTTTATTGTGTTGGTAAAATGTTATGTATAATTGCAATTACTTACCTAATTTAAGCCACCCTGTATTTCGTACAGTTTCCTAGATCCCAGTCGTGAGAGTCAACTTTGAAACGCCTGGTATATTACTTTAAAACTGAGTTTATTAATTTTTTGTAGATGTTCCGATCCTTGTGAGCAACTGGCTTACGTAGCGGCTTTTACTATATCTTCCTATTCAACTACGGCTAGCAGGACAGGCAAACCATTTAACCCTTTGTTAGGAGAAACGTATGAGTGTGATAGGACGGATGATCTAGGTAATGTTTATAACAAAATTGTTATTATTATTTGTAAAAAAACATAATTTGGTAGATTAGAGTTGGGGGGCTAATCAAATTAGAGGGGTCGTTTAGAAAAAAGTGTTGAAGGGCTAATTATTATTTTGATTGAAATGAACGTTTATTAATGGATTTTTCAGTAGTAGTAGCGAAATATCTGCTAGAACTCAACGTTTTGGAACTATAAGCTTGGCGCGTTTCAGTTGATTTCAAAAAAATGTATATGGTAGTCTAAATCAGAAATTTTTGCTATATATTTCACGCCATCCTGGTTACAGTTCATGTTGATTGCATTAAAATAATATTGAGTCGTGGCTTTGTCATAATGTTTAAGTATTGTAGTTTTTTGCTAGTGCAGTTATTGAGACTATAAAACACTCTGGTACGAGGTTTGTGTGATGTAACACTGTTTCGGGTAGTAAAAAATAAGTGAAAAAGGCGTCACGTTGTGTTGTGATAATTTCAAATGTTAATAAAACTAGCAAAAAAATTTTAACGCCTAAAGGAGAGCGTAATTAGGGAGTTGTTGGGTGCAGTAACATTCAATAACTCAACTTTCCTGGATATTCAACTCTCCCGAAACAACATTTATAGCTTCATAGTTTCTCACACTGATTTGATCAAAAGCAAAAATGAAGTCAAGAAGTTTGACAAAACAAGTGAGTAAATAAAGTGCTCGTTACATAATAAAAACAATTAAATAGACATATACTATGAGAGGATAAAATATAATTTGCAATATTAATGGTATACTTTTTTTAATTGCCATGTTTATGTGTGATTAATTATTTTATGCACATCTTCTAAAATTCTAATTATGTACCTTTAAAAAATTTCGTTATAGCCGAAATAGCCCCAATTATGCCTGACTAGCAAAACCGGTGATTAAAACTATGCTCGCTACTGTAGTTGAACTCATCTAAAAAGTTTTTTTTAGCTGGAATAATAAATTATAATTCAAGTTAGACCTTCTGAAGATATTAAAATATTTACTTTTTTTATTTTTGGAATTTTCACAAATTACACTTCCTAACACTTTTAGAATAATAATTAAATAATAAATTTTTCGTATACTCGCTATTTAAACCCGTGTAGTTGTATATACTAGTTGTTTACGATATTCTCCGATGGTGGCAGCACCGGCGGAAAATGCACCAAGTTTACAGGGCGGCGAAAACGGAAAGATAGACATAAAATATTTTAGGGGTATATGTGGGGAGACAATGCGCACAATTTAAAATTATTTTGAAATATACAGAGTGTTTCAGAACTAAGATCCATACCAAAGTTATATTTTTTCTTATGGAACACCCGGTATTTTATTTCATTTTTGGATTCTTGGGCCCAAAAAAAGGCATTTATTATAAGGGTTAAATATGTTTAAAATCTTTTGAAAATCGTTTTTGAGATATTTAAAGATATTTAAATTTGCACTACTATAGAATAGACTATTAACACCCTGTACATTACTTTTCAGAATTAATTCTTATGCTGAGTTTAAAGGTAGAGAAAGAAACTTTACTGAAAAATGGTCTTGGCTCCTTAAATTTATACAGGGCGATCAAAAGTTGCTGATCTATTTTAAGGATATATTTTATATAAAAACTTTGTTATTTCAAATGTAACACCCTGTATTTTTTTAAATAAATCGAAGCAGATTCAAATTCTATTTCAATCTATAGTCTGTCCAACGAGAAGATCCGTGACAGTGATAGATGTGTCTGTCATTTTATTTTCAAAGTAGTTTATTTTATTTTACAAAGAAATAAGTTGGTACAACTGGAACACATAGCAGGAAATTAATATATTCAAAATTTGACTGACAAGACAAGTGATTACTTCAAAATATTGTGAAAAAACTGTATAAAATTGAAAAAATGTAATCGAATTATTTTATTTAACAAAAAAAACGGTGTGTTAATACAAAACAAACAAGAACAAGACACCACATACCAAAAAATATAAAAAAGAACTATTTCTTACTTTCAAGCTTCATGAAACTTCCCGCATTTATGATTATATTTATCAATATAACTTATGTACATATACAAATTTGTAATATTCGACAGGAATAAATAAAACAACATAAATAAAACAAACTATTTTATTAATAATAACATTTGCCAAATTTTATACCTTAAAGGTTGATTAATTAACTTTAATTTTAATTTTTAAACCAGTACCTTTTGACATTATTTTTCTGCAGTACTAAAATCCATTATTTACCTATCGTGTGATGTCGATATTTTACAGCTACTCCAGTTTTTAAGAGTTTTTAGTATGATCCTTCTACCATATACGAGATGCACTTACCTGCGACGAGATGGTATACAAACTTTATCGATGGTAACTTTCTTGGTGTATAAGACTTTCTGCCTGGGCAGCGAGTATTAACCATAAACTGTGCTCTGGGTCTACAGTTAATTTTCACTCGATTTTTCCTCCACTTGACTTCAAAAGACACAAAACACACGTAATAACACGAATCAAAATGCATCATCTTCCAAAACGCAGGGTATTTGACAAAAGTTGACACAAAATTATAACCTTTAATTTGGCAAGACTTTGACAAGCGTCAAAAATCCAAAGGCGAGTTCATACGCATCGGCGTCCGTTGGTCGTTCATCGTTCCGTCAAACCAATAAAAATCGATTTTTAAATAAAATTTTAATCAAGATGGCTGGTGTCGCCATGGCAATTTTCTAGTGACAGTTAGTAACTATTTTCAAAGTTGACATTAGTTTATCGACATTATTATTTATAATTTATAACAGTTTACTTAAATTTACCTACAATAGTTTAATATGTAAGTATTCATTATTTTATCAAGAAAAATAAAGCAGTATCTGCTGGCGGAACGAATAGATATGTTACTAGTGATATTATTTTGTGAGGAAATTGCTTCTTGGCCTCAAGGGCTTATGCTCAAAGATATCAAAATAGGAATCTTCCTGATAAGAGTTTCTTCGAAAAACTTCTTGTCCTATTTCGCCTGGTAGTGTGATTTATAAAAAACCTATTAGGCAGAAACCTGTCGTTGAAAGTGAAGAAAATGAATTTGCCGTAATTGGCTCTACAAGTATCTACAAGTCATCGTAAAATAATTCAAAGACTACTTCTTCGTTTTTCTTGATAGAATAATAAACACATATTTAATAAATATTATTTATTAAACTATTGTAGGTAAATAAAAGTAAACTGGTATAAATTTAAATAAGTCCATAAACTAATTTCGATTTTGAAAATAGCTACTAATCGTCATGTCAGTAGAAACTTGCCATGACACCAATAGCCATTTTGATTACAATTTTATTGAAAAATTGCTTTTTATTCAAAATCTGAGCCAGATAGGTTTAGAAAACCCTAATATAGTTTGAAAGAGCATTTAAATCTGCTTCGACTTATTTAAAAAAAAATACATAGTGTTGCATTTGAAATAACGAAGTTTTTATGTAAAATAAATGTTTAAAATAGACCAGCAATTTTTGATACCCCTGTATACATTTAAGGAAGGAATAACATTTTTCTGTAAAGTTTATTTCTCTACCTTTAAATTCAGCACAAGAACTAATTCTGAAAAGTAATGTACAGGGTGTTAATAATCTGTTCTATTGTAGTATGCAAATTTAAATATCTTTCAATATCTCAAAAACCAAAGATTTTAAACATATTTAACCCTTATAATAAATACCTTTTTTTGGGCCCAAGAATGGATGTTAGTTCTGAAACACCCTGTACATTTCAAAATAATTTTAAATTGTGCACATTACCTCCCCACATATACCCATAAAATATTTTGTCTCTACATTTTTCCGTTTTCGTATAATCAACCGAGGCGAATGAGGTGCGCCACCCTGTATATATTCTTTAAATCTTGTTAAAATTGATCTTTTAGGGCTCAAACTCACTGACGACCAGGTCGCAACGACCTGGCCGTCGGCTGGCCGGATGCATTGCGTTTTTAGCTGCGGCCAGATGAACGACCAGTGTCAACAGAGTTGTCAGATCTAACGATTTTTTACATTTTACCAATTAGAAAATATTGTTTCAGAAATGTTAAAATATCCGAGTTAACTAAAAAGCGAAGTTGCTATTCACAACAAACAAAAAGCATTGTGTACGCGCGACCGACAAAAAGGGAGATATTCTGTTTCTTTTTTCTACTGATATGGCGCCCTTATCGGCTTTAGAAGTAAACATATTAGTGCCATCGTAAAAAACTGGTTCTAAATATAAGCAGGTAGAAAGTTTAGCTTCCAGTTATTTCAATGTTTACAATATAACGAAGAATCTACAACAGCAATTACTTCTATTTTTATGAATGTTTAAGTTACTTTCTTAATTTTTTTTCAAAATAGTGTACCTAGTAGAAATATAGTCTAATGAACCCTGTTTGAAAAACGTTAAATTAAATATAATATTTAAAATACAGTTGTCCTCCTTGTACATGACTACAATACAACTAAAAAAAAATAATTTAATAAAAAAAACAAGTGGTTGTAGAAAAACTTTAAATATATTTTTTTTTATTTTTTAACATCGAAACTCAGAGGTATTATTATACCTTTGAGTTTACCTGTTATTACTGGTATCATACCAACCATAAATAGAGTAGGTATATCATATAAAAATGTTTTGAGTTTTTACTAGAATCGACCCTTGATAAAAAAAAAGGGATTAGATTTAAGTTTACCTTTGATCCAGTCTGTATACTATTTCTTTGGATTTTCTGCACGTGTGAAAAAACTACACTAAAACACTATATCTTATAGAAAATAAAATATTGTGCCTTGAATTTGAGGGATTTCATCTGAAAATTATTAATTTGGAAGAAAACCGGCAACAAGCGGCAGAAAATAATCATATTTCCGTGCAGTCTTCTGGTCGCAACGACCAACGGACGGCCAGGACGTTAGTGTGCGCTATCTCATTTGATTTAATGGTTTTAGAGGTAGGTGCGGCCTGGCCGGTGCGACCAGGTCGTCAGTGTGTTTGAGCCCTTAGGTTGCCCAACATGTTTTTGATTACAATCTTTACATTAAATTTCATAAATACCCGACCTTTCCACTGGAGGTGTTTTATTTTTATGGTTATCTAATAGTTATTGTGATTTATTATTAGAGTTATAAACAAATTTATAATTGAAATTCCTGAAAATTCTTTTTAAACCACAGGATAACTCTCTATCAAACTGTATTGAAATAAAGTTTGACTTATAATTTATCAGGTTGGAAATGTTTTAATGAACAAGTATCGCATCACCCACCAATCGTAGCCCAGTATTGTGAAGGCGAAGAGTGGCATTGTTGGCAGGAATTTACCATGACCTCCAAATTCAGAGGAAAATATTTACAAGTTAGTCATTCACATATTAATTAACACGTACATATTAGTATAATTAGCAAATACAGAGATACACACAATTTAATTTTAATAATGTTGGTAAATATACAGGGTCCGGCAATAGTGTAGAATCTGTAGCTCCTAGAATAAAAAACTTGGGAATTGCATTTTATTCTAGGAGCTACAGATGACCGACGCACTATTGCCGGACCCTGTACTTAGATGTTTATCTAATTTAACATTCTATTGCAGATTATCCCTCTAGGTAATGCCCAGGTAGAATTTTTGAAAAGCGGTAACAAATATTCGTGGAGAAAGGTTACCACGACGGTTCACAATATTATCGTTGGAAAACTTTGGGTGGATCAACACGGTAAATCTTATATTGAACATAAAAAGTTTGTATGTTTGAAAAGTAACATTTATTTTATTGTGACTTTTAGGTGATATGGAAATTATTGGAAAAGGTGCATCGGCAGGAATCAATTGTCAGTTGAAATATATCCCATACTCGTATTTCACTAGGGATTCCCAGAGAAGAGTGAAAGGTGTGGTAATGGATAACGGAAATGTAAAATGGGTTATTAATGGTACATGGGATGATCAAGTAAGTATCAGCCTTGTTTAGTTGCTCAACCGACTAGACAAAATGTGCTGCCAACTGGAGGACAAATCGTGAACCTTTCGGGGCGGAGTCAAAAATATCGATTATTTTCGTTATTTTCCTCAGAGTAATGTAATAATATAGCCCCGGGTTTCTGCGAACTTTAATAGTGATCAGCTGATTAAGAAATTTAAACGAAACTTTTATTTTATTGTAAATTGTGGATTATTTTTGCCTGTTCTTTTAAGAATTCTAAACCGTATTAACAAAGAAATTATTATTTCGATATGTTGGTACATTATTTATAATTTATGATAATGCTAATTGGCTGTTAATTAATATTTAAAAAAAAAGTTACATACCTATTTTAATTTGATTTAATGCAAGTTTATAAAAGAATCATTTCATTCTTAGATTATTTTATTCTAAATTGAGTGCTTTACGAATTTTACGATATTTTTTTTTAAACATAAAACTTTTTACATTTTTGATGGCAACTAATTGGTAAGGAAATTAGCCAAGAATGAAAAGAATTGGCTATAACATGTAATTTTTCGAAAAAAACATATTATACCTATATCGCTGAAAAGCTTAAAAAATGGCGCTTTTTATGAAGTCATGGCCAACTATGGTTTCCATTTAAAAAAACATTTGTTTGTGTCATATGTCAAAAATGACAGGCTTTAGAGAAAAAAAAACAGAAAACACAAACTCATTAGGTATGTGATTATCTACAACTTTTATCTGAAAACTTTTGTCTAAAATACCGTATGATCGAATAAAAGCGACGTCAGCGATGGCTATGAAATGACGATCGATGATATTTCCCATATAATTTTACATATAAAATGACAGCGATCTTCATTTCATAGCCATCGTTGACGCCGTTTTTATTCGATCATAGGGTAGATTATAATGGAATTAGAGACAAGTTTTAAAATAGCCAAAATTTGTTTTTTTTTTCGAAATATCTAATAAGCCTTGAACTTCTCCGAAAAATCCGAAAGGCGCATATTTATGACCCCACAAAACTGCAATTCATAGAGAACATCGTAGGAAACTCACCCGGTATAGTATTTAGAAGCTATTATTATTATTTGACTAGATTAATTTGATTAATAAGACTCGATTAATTTAATTTAAAATAAATTTGAACAGATTTTTTTTCGTATATTCTACTACCAGAAAATCAAAATTATATGATAACGCACTTTTCAACGAAGTTGAAGGAAGATATAGTGTATCTGTCACAATACTTAATAGAATTACTACAATTAAAAGAAAAAATACCCAAATACCTTCACCTACTACTCATCTACAAAATAAACGAATATAATCTCTTATAAAAACACTACACGACTACTTCTTGCATTCTACACTGAAAAAATTATCAAACTTACTAATTAATCAAACAAAAAGAAAAAATAACCAAATTATCCCTTAACCTACTACTTAACTACAAAATAAACTATAAAAACACTACTACTAAAGTATTTCTGGTATTCTACACTAAACATTATAATTAAACTTAAAAAAAATTAATCTAATTTTACATGACAACCACTACAACTACAAAGAAATAACAACATTTCTTAAAACTAGAAGAAACAGAACATCGATACGTGCAACCAGTATAATAGATCAAGCGGACAAAGAATATAAAATACTTTAAAAATGTGCATTGAGAAAGATAAAAATTTCTCGAAAATTATCTAAACAAACATTTTTTTTTCTCATCAGTGAAAAACATCGGCCTCGTCGGCCTTGCGGAATTTGTCGGGTATTTACAATGGTCGAATTGTATAATTACCAGCTTTTATAGCATATCTAATAGACAAAAAGTATCTGGTCGATTAGTAACCAATTGGCACAGTCCGAACGTTGAGTAACCAAAAATATTTTTCTGTAGTAAAAGACTGAAATACGCCCCGCCATCTGGTGCTTTACATCCATAAACGTCTTAGGTTGAGCTACTTTAAAAATTCATATACAAGGTTATCAGGGATCCACGTTCTCAATTTCAGCCCCCTAGCTTTTTTACTTTTTAAATTTACTTTGTTTACTATGTTTTTCTGTTTTTTACATAATAAAAAGAGTTTTGTGAAATTCTAGAGATTTGGTAGGTTTTTTGTTCTGATTTGTGGTTTTTTTTAGTTGGCAACACTGCGTTAAACTCATCACTCCTGTTTTTTTTCTCTTGTCTAGGTTGAAATAGCTCCAGTGACAGGAAATACAGGCAGCGCCAATAATCCAGTCTACCAAACCGGAACGCCGATAACCGCATGGCAGAGAAGACCTCCGCCTCCAGATTCGGATAAAATGTATAATTTTACATTGCTAGCTGCCCAGTTGAACGAACCAGAGGATCGTGTAGCTCCCACAGATTCCAGACTACGTCCAGATCAAAGGTTAGACCTTCAATATTGGTAATAATAAATCTTTATTTCAAAATTGTATTTAGTTCCTCTAGGTCTCACTCCTCACTCCTGCCTAGCATCGGGCTACGCGCGCTGGCCGATCCGTCGCCGTCGCATATTATTATATATCGGTCACAGATATCGATATAATCGATATCTCGATCCCGGAATAGGTCCTGAAGAACTAGTTCTTTGAGAAACCAGGAACTAGTTCCTTTCATTCCGGGGTCCGAATAGTGCATTGGAACTAGTTCGTTCACGAACTACACATATACATACCTCTAATTTGGTATGATCTATAGATTAGGGTTTTGAGGTGGTCAAGACAAATCTCTCGATATGACACCGGGGGGGGGGTGTATTTTTAATAAAAAAAAATCCTCTAAAAAGCCTCAAGTAATTAATGGATGCCCACTTATTAAATGTTGTAGGTATTTTATATAGTAACATAGATTTATTTCTGTCGTAGATTAATGGAAAATGGAATATGGGATGAAGCAAATAAGGAAAAACTACGAATTGAAGAAAAACAGAGAGCTGTCAGAAGAAAAAGGGAATCAGACGCGGAAATTGCAGCTGCTGAAGGTAAAATTACATACGAGATAATATTTAATATAATTAATTAATAATAATTATAATATACACGATGTCCCATATAACAATGCACAATAGAGATATCTCGTAAACCAGAACAGATACAGAGATGATTAAATTAGAGAAAAGTTGCGCAATGATGGACATTACTAATAGTAAAAATAATTATAATATACACGGTGTCCCGTATAACAATGCACATTAATAGAGATATATCGTAAACCAGAACAGATACAGAGATGATTAAATTAGAGAAAAGTTGCGCAATGATGGACCAACGTCATGTTTCGAAAACTAAAAAAATCCGATTGCTTCCGACGATATTACCGGGAAAAAACGAAATTTACCGATTTCATTTTTTGGTTTAACTGTGATTTGATATATATATATATATGCAGTGAGTCTTAAATAAGTGCAAATATTTTCATAGGTGGTATATTTCGACCCCAGGAACACGTCTATCAGGTTTTTTTGCTAAAAAAATATGTCGAAAATCGAGCATTTTCTTTTAAATTTTCCTGTATTTTTTCGCAAACTTTTTAGAACTGCCTGTTCACCGCAAATTTTCCCACGGTATAATTTTTTAATCTCTGAATCATAGCTACGGCTTTACTCTATCGTTACGGCTTTATTCTATGATTACAGCAATAAAAGGGATGCAAATACAGAAAAAATCCAGTGGCTCTCAAAATTTTTTCAAAAAAATATTTGTTTTTAAAATTTTAAAACTTAAATAACTAGTTATTTTGGACTTATTTGAAAAACGGTAAAAAGAAAATCTGTTTCTTTTATCGAGATCTACCAGCCCTAACAATATTTGCACTATTTAAGACTCACCCTGTATATAAAAAGATATATGTTATAAGAGATATATCCGAATAACAACATTATTTTCTTAAAATTTTAATTTATTTCGTAAAAATGACATACACAAAAGAAAGACAGACAATTGGTCAGTCAGTGTGAAAGACAAAGATAACCAGATAGTCGAATGTCGCTGACGTGTCCTCAACAAAAATGAAGCAAATTTACTTATCCACGAAGTTTTAAGATCTAAAGCTTCATTCAGAACCTCGTAATTAGTGGAATAAATTAGTGGTTTCAATTACACGTTATATTTTTTAGTTTACGATCATTCACAGTGTCTAAAAACAAAATAAAAATAAATAGAATATCCTAGCAACAGCTTCCGGTAGTCAGTTGTATCCATAGCCTAATATTTAGCTTATAAAACAATGAACTTTTGATTTTTAATCACAATTTCTCTTGACGGATGATAATCAAACGCCAAAATGACATTCCTCGTAAATTTTGAAGTATAATTAGTGGAAAAGTCAAAAGTTTGTTAACTTTTCCCAAGGACTGTATATATTCTAAAGGACTGTTCGATCGCGTCAAATCGCCGCTGTCGTAGTCGCCGTGGAATGCTACGTCACGCGCTGACCAGCGCTCCACAGTGCGGCGGATGGTTATTCTAGCGGGACAAAATCTCAAGAGCAATGTTTGGGACTTAAAATCTAAGAACGTAGCAAATGGTCTAATATATAGCAACTCTATGGTTAAATTTATTTATTTATTAACAACTTAATTTATTAATAAATAAATACAAGATAATAAAACTATGATATTATTCGTACATGACACACAAAAACCGTATTGAAAACTATTGCCAAATACATAAAATGATGATATCAAAAAACTCTTTAGCAGTTTTTTTTAATTAATTTGTAATCTTGTGACACCCTCTATAATTTATTTTAAAAAAATATATTTTATTTCGAAAATAATAATTAAGATAGATATTTTAATTTAACACTCGGTAATTGTAAATTCATATATAGTAAGTATCTAAGACAATTTTTAAACTCAGTGCCTTTTGATGGAGTTGTTTTGTTTTTATACTATCCGATTGAAATGAATCTTTTGGGCATTCACCTGTTAAGCTTGAACTCCCTGTGACTTAACTACCTGTGTTGGTAACTATTGGTAACTCAAAAGATCTACATCATTCAATATATCGATATTTGAAAAAAAAAGTGAAAGTTTGATATCTGCAGAACAAAGGCACAAAGGATTTTAACAAATAATATACGTACAGTAGAAAAGTACATACCTTTGGCAATCTTCAACATAATTTGGCTTTCTAATAAAATGTATAAGCACTTGTAAATATTTTGTTTTTCGTATGATCTCTGCCTTGCTGAGCAGAAAACGACCAAATTTGGTTGATAAAATGTATCGAAATACAAAAGAATATTCATGCATTTTGTATCAATTGGCAATGTTTTACTATTTATTCTTTCTAATAAAATTTTTAAGCTTATTTCTAACCAAACGCTTTTGTCCCGCTAAATTTATCTTCCAACGCACTGTGCGCTCGTCCGTCAAATGCAAAAATAACTGTCACTGTCTAAAATCTTTAGCGCCAACTTCAACTCGGTCAGTAGATGACGTAAAAAAACTGACAGTGCAGGAAGATAGGAATCGAACTATCCTTATCTCTATAGTATGCTTGAACTTTTCCTACTAATTGAAAAAGACTACCACTAATTTTGACGTTCTGAATGCATACATTGAAATTATTACAATAAAACAACTTCTATGCTAATTGAAACCACTAATTGCGAGGTTCTGAATTAAGCTTAAGAATTTAACTAAAAAAAATGTTTTTTTTTTACAGGGCGGCCATATACACCATATAAACCGCTGTGGTTTGAACAGAAAACCGAGGCAGGAAGTGACGTCATTACACACATTTACAAGGGCAACTATTGGAAATGTAAAGAGGAGCAAAACTGGTCAGAGTGTCCCGACATATTCTAGAGTTTTTTTTGTATATACTATATATTTAAACATATGTATTTTCTAGATGAAAACAAAACACATAATAATTATATATAATTGTTTTACAAGGGATTAATACATTTATTGGTGACTACCTGTTAGGGCAACGTTGCCATTTTAAATTCCTCAAATATGCGCTATATGAAAACTAAGCATAACTATGATTAAGCATAACGCATATTAGAGCATATTTTCAATCTCGATGCTTCTTTAACTGGCCATATATAATATGTTTTTTTATTGTTGTTGAAGCATGTTAACTAGACACAGATTGAATAAAATTCAAAAGCAGTAGCGTATCAAAAGTATGGGTTGTCTAAATTTATCGTTTTACAGTTATACAGTTTTACGTTTTGACAGTTATTAAGTTTCAATCATGTACAATCTTGTTAATATATGGAAAAAATTGTATATTGGATATAAAAGTGTGTGTTTTTTTCCACATAATCTAGTCTTCAACAGTTGATTGTTACTTACAACGTGGGTACGGAAATGCACGGTTTTAGAGATACAGGATGTTAATAAAACTTAAAAAGGTAGTTTTTTGTAGTTTTTTTAAATACCATTATATTTCATTGAGTTTGTTGTATGTAGCACTGAACATCAATGTTATAAATTATAATTTGATATCAAGTACAATATGATCGAAAAAAAATGGCGTCACCCATGGCTATGTCCTAAAAATCAAAAGGCGTTTCTATGGTTACACTACATTACTTCTACATGTAGTTTTCATTTTATGATAGATGGTTATTATTAATTTTGATTAACGTCATATTGTTGCTGATGTCAAAGTATCCCATTTTCCGATAATTATCGCCATTTCTGTAGCATTGAACTATATAAATTTTGTGCTTCTTTAACATTTTTAAACAGCAAAAAATATGACGTTAATTAAAGTTTATCAATGACAATTTATCAAAAAATGAAAACGAAACTATATCACCATTTGAATTTAGAATGAGTGGGAGGGGGGTTAATCACTTCGACCTTACAGATCCATTGTGTCCATATATCACCATAGAAACATCTTTAATTTTTGGGACTTTCAACTTTGGGGAAAAAATTCAACTACATTTTCATGTTTTCTTTAATTTCGTCTTATGAAGAATGCATTTTCTTCTAAATGTCAATAAAAAAATCCTCTTGCAAAGATAATCCGGGGACATACTGTATATGTAAAATTATATGGGGAATGTCATCGATTGTCATTTTCAAGACAACTGGACGCCTTTTTTTTCGATCATACGGTATTTTAGGTATTTTAATACTGTAGTTGCAAATTGAAATTTAATTTTTTTGTTTTTTTTTTATCTCAAAAACAGTTCTAGATAGGCATATTATGGGTTCTATACAAAAAAACCTTTAGCAAAATAACGTAAAATTCCCTAGTATGGAGTGGAAGAAATTTTTCCAGATTTTTAAGTCCAGGAAAGTAAGTCCAACGACAGCGACAGTATATATGATAGTGATAGTGACAGTCTTCTGTCATTTTAGTTCACAGGAAAGCCGTATTTACTGTCATTTTTTGTATGACTGTCGAAATCTTAACTGATTTGTTGGACAAACTTTATACAAGTATTACGGAATCTATATCAACTTGTAAGGGCTTTAATAGATATGATTTTGAGAACTATTTTTTTAGAGTTTTTGGTAAAAATAATTGGGAGTGTTTGTAGTTTTGATTATGCTATCGGTTTGATGGTTTTAAAAGGTATTCTGGAACATTTGAACTATAGTCAAACCACGTGACAAAAACAAACGACATATCCATTAATTGACAGCAAATGTAATGTGTCTTTCTTTTAGACAGACTAAAGTCGGTCCAATGAAAAATTTGACAGTGACATTTGTCTGACGTTTTAATTCATAGGTAAATCGTATTTCCTGTCATTTTTTGAATGACGTCTGTCGTTTTGGCTCAAACAGGTAAAAAGTTTTGTGTAAAAGGGAGTTTTTCTGTTATTTTATTCAAAATGCATTTCCTACATTTGTATAGATGGTATTTTAGTCAATGTTAAATAGAGATTGTATTATTAAAATAATAAAAATGTAAATAGAAATTGCTATGTCAATTGTTGTTTTGCGTTTTTTAAATATTTTAATAGTATCGTTGTTTATAAATACATATACAAGGATATTAATATGTAGGAGTTATATTTCAGTTTAATAGCATATAAATTTAAAATCTGAATATAAGTTATGTATCAATCCTTATTCGTTCTTTTTATGTGGAATATGTTCTTTTTCCTATTAAATACCTATCAACTGTTTTTGACCTTTTCTTTAATTAAATAACATAAAAACTTGTATATTTGTACATTAGAGGTAATTTTTCATTGTCCATATAATATATTCTATTGTATAATATATTATTTTATGTACGTTTGTTCCTCGTGGTTATTTTGAAAATATATTAGAATATTTAGTTTTTTTCTCGTCATGACATCAGTGTTTCTTATTTTACATTTATTATAATTATTCTTTAATTTAAAACTGTGGATCAGGTATGAAGGTTAAAATTTACTGCTTTCCTAATATGTGATAATGTAAATAAACATACATTGCTTTAAAATACGAGTTTTATTTATTATGCCCTTAATAAAACGATTTTTACGTTTATCTAATTCAAATTAACCAAAGGTAAATAATCCAAAGTGCAAAATTAATTTTTGAAGTTGGCCACGTAAAAATAACAATGGACGTTGCCAGAAACATTTTTGATAGCTGTCAAAAAAAATTCAAAAGTTCGCAAAAGTTAATTACAATTTGAAATAACTCCTTAACGATAATGCTAAATTAAGTTTTTAGCTCCGCGATTTCAAAGTTGCCGCTCTAACGAGATTTCAACCGGAGACGCACGAACCGTTCCTTCGTCAATAAACGGCGTTCATTGTGGCGGGCGCGGCCATATTGGTAATTCGCGATACGAGAGCCGTTTTGTGAGTGTAGTGTCGTGAAATTCAATCCAAAATCATCTCAAAATGTCTGAAAGAGAAGATAACGTGTACAAGGCTAAACTGGCCGAACAGGCAGAGAGATACGATGGTGAGTGTATTTCGATAAACCCTTTTCCTGTTTGTCTGCCTTTTCCGAAAGCCGCTTTTCCAACTCGAAGTCTCGGACGCTCCGCTACCATTTTTGACGTATTTGACAGAACAAAAGGCTTTTTTGAAAAATTTGAGTATTTTAAACGATAAGTACACGGAATATTTAAGTTATTAGATGCTTTATAAATAAAAGTGTATCTGATTTATATCTCCGATCTTGCCAGAGAAGTGTCATTGAGTTTATCGATCTTTACGTTTCGGCAGTTTGATTAGAAATTTTATAAATTCCTGAATAATGAATCATAGAAATAACGTTTTTAAATAGGGAACACTTTTAAAATGCTTACGTTTTGCAAAATGAGTTAAAAACCTGATAAAAAACAATTCAAAAATGTCATTTTGGAAGGATTAGATTAAAGTCTAAATAATCGATCAAAATGAGTTTATTTCTTGTGGTTTTATGGATTTTTTTGTATCTGTGTAGTCTGGATATAGTGTTTTAGCCAGTTTTCGAGAGAATATGTCAAAAATGTTTCTTCGTCTACGCGAAAAGTCATATCCCACGCTTTCCGAGTACACAGACGAAGGCGTTTTTATTACGAAGCATTCGACGATTTCCATAAAAGCCCGTCTTGTTTATTGCGTAACAGAAAAGCGAATAGTTTCCGGTGATTTTTTTCTTTTTTCGGTAATGATCGCCAAATTGGGGAACGCCCCACGTAACGTCACTGTACCGTTTTTATTTCACCCAATTATTCACCTCATTTCATTCACATTCTTGATGTTTCTATTTTTCTTGAATTACCGCTGGCGTATCGATTGTGCTAACGCGAAAAACACACGATGATCATAATTGGCTGTGTCGTCAGACGTACTGTAAATTTTTCGAAATACGTACTACAAAAACTCACTGTACAGGGTGTCCAATTTTTTACAGTGTTTCTCGTTTATGAGTGAAGATAAAAATATGAGCTTTTCACATTACAATGCTATTTGCTACACGCAGATTTGTCCTAACCCCATACCCAGTTCATGAAATACAGGGTGAATTTGAAAATGTTGCGTTTTTCGCTCCCCTCCGTATCTCAGTTAACTTAACTTATCGAAAAGGTGAAAACTGAGTCCAGTAGAGTTTTTCACGTAAAATCCAGTGGTGTAACGAGTTTTTCACTGTCACGAGTTGTCGTGAAATATGACCCAAAATTACCAATGTTTTTTAAAATGGTATTTTTTTAAATGGCTCTATTATGTTTTAATGTAATATAAATAAGGTAAAAAAATGCGTTATTTAACTTTTAACATAGGCGGCCGGTTTAAATTATGTAATCAAAACATTTGAATAAATAATTATTCTGTCAGATTTTTGTTATTGGCTATTCTATGCTAGTTTCTTTACAAATTATTGTACAAGTGTATCAAACATATCGATAACTATGATTGACAGCTCCGTGTTATCTAAAAGCTGCACATGTTCATTTTCAATGCAGTTTATTAAGATAAGATTAAGATATAACCCGATGGAAACAAAAATTATCTGGTGATATTATATTAAATAAAACAATACCTACTTACCTAATTTTTTTAATTTTTTTTAATTATGCATGTTTTTACCTTATTTATGAAAATAAAAAATAAGTATAGATAATATTATATTTTTAAAAAGCTCATAACAAGGCAAGTAAAATGAAAAAATAATTTACAGTGTGTCGCAAAAGAAAACAAACATAAGTTTTTTAGAAAATGACAAAAACTAGTTACGGCAATGGATTCTAAGTACGTAGAAAACTCTACAGGACACAGTTTTTACCTTTTCGATAAGTTATAAGATAACCGAGATATGAGGGCAGTTTAAAAATGCAACAATTTTAAATTCGCCCTGTATTTCAAGAACCTAACAAGGCTAAGACAAATCTGTGACATTTTATTTTCATAAAAAAGTAACAAAGTGATGTGAAAACCGCACCTTTGTATCTACTCAAACGAGAAACCCTGTAAAACACACGAAAATGGGACACCCTGTACATTGTACATACTACGCCCAACAATTATTATTCCAGCCAATTAGGCTATTTGTTACTTTTATGGTTAAATATTTAAAGATCATTTATCAAATCAAGTGCAAATGAAAAGTTTGAATATACGTCATTTATAGTATAATGTCACTGAATTTAATAATGTGAAAATATTCAATATTATAAAACCTAGTGGCTAATTCGTGTTATAAAGTAGAGAGTAAAAAAAACAGCGTCAGCGATGGCTATGAAATGAAGATCGCTGTCATTTTATATGCAAAATTATATGGGGAATGTTATCGATGTTCATTTTCAAGCCAACTGGACGCCGTTTTTTATTTAATTTGAAATTATTTATATAATAAAAAAAAATAATATATTAGATGTCTTGAAAATACACGGAAAAAAACAATAAACCGAAAAATACACAAGCGTTCAAGAAATATGGAATCGTTTGTAAGTTGGATGATATATTTGACGAAAAATGTTGGCTTGTTCGAATCTTTCATATAAATTTGACATCGTGATCTTCAACTTTGATGTTTGATGTGAAATTGTCGTTTTACTTTGCCAAAAAAGTTGTACAAGATATTTTATTTCACTAACTTGAAAAAAGAAATGATAGGTAAAACCAGTGTAATACTCATAAATTTGAATAAACCAGGTTACATTACTCTTTTCTATGAATTTATGCTATTTATGTAACAAGTAATACCAGTATTTGTTTTAAATAAACGTTTAATAAGGCTATTATAGGTTTTATAGATGGAACCAATTTTTATAAAAATAAGTGATTACAAAAAAATTATCACAAAATTTTGTAGGAAATTTGAATAGATTTTGCGTGTAACTATGCTTTTGAATTTTAAAGTTGAATTACCTCAATATCAATTGAAGAGTTTATTAAAATAAAAATAGCAAAATTGGTTACTAGGGGAGCAATACAAAAAAAAGACATTTTGTAGTCTTTCAAGGGAGAGATTTTTATTTAAGCACAAAAACATTAAATAAGTAAAATACTAGGCCTTCGACCTTGTACTAATTATAAAAAAAACATTTAGATTCCTTTTTTTATGTAAAAAAATCATGCACTTAGTCATATTGCTTATATGCATGTAGTAGACAGAAAAAAGCTTGTAGATCACTAATATCATGACTTTCTTGTCTAACTACTGAATATTTATATCTAGAAATGTACAATGTAATGCCAGTTTACAGATACAGTTTTAGATGTCTGACTAATACTGTTATGTACACCTATCTGTGCTAATAAATAAATATAATGAAACAGACCATGACTGTTTTATTTGCTATAGTGTGACTTATCAAATTATTAATTAAAATATTCCAATGAAATTCTACATATATTCGATACCAATTAAACTTTCAGTTACGTAATCGAGGGCGCGATATTTAAATTTATTGTTGCCAACCATATTCGGCGCCGGGCTGACTAACTGGAATTTAAATTTCCCGCTGGGGATTCAGGTGGCAGCTCTGCTGTAAAAAATGTTAAGGTGCCGCATTTATTTATTTATTTCCTGATATTGTCATTGGTTTTGGCACTTTAGTTAAAAATAACTCTTTTGTTTTAGTCTTTTTCTCCTTTTTCTTGATAATTGATATGTAATATCTACTGTCTTTTTCGTTTGAAATATAATGAAACATCAGTTTTTGGTAGTGTTTAGTGGTCGGGCAGCAACAACTCAAACACAAACGCAGATCAAAGGAAATAAAAGTTGTCCGACCATTGGTCAACGCTAAATTTAATATATTTGAGATGTCGGACAGTAGCCCCTTTTCCACGTCGTATTGTAGAGTTCAGACTAATTTTTTATGAGATTTTGGTTATTTTCAAGCATGAAGCCTAAATGAAAAGAGAGTTTTCATCAATACTATAAAGATGCATTAGAAAAAGCAGTCCAAACTGTCCGAGAAGAGGAAAAATCGCATAAAACATGCAGTCAGTACAGGATTCCAAGTACAGGACAGTATTAAAGACAAATAAGCGACGTTTGCAAACGAATGGAACCAGAACTTGTTTTAACTAGAGAAATTGAGAAAAAAAATATTACCTGGATTGAAAACTTAATCGTTTGCGGATTCCCAATAAAAAAAACAGGTGTTACTTAATACAGTTGAAAAAATTGTATCTAGAAGACGAAAATTTGAAAACGCTGTTTACTGATGGAAGCATGGTCTTATGAACCGCGTTGGTATCGTTTAAATGTGATACACACTTGCCGATGTTGTTTACAAAGTGGGGACTGGTGGGGATACTTGCCAAGTACGCAAATATTGGCGTACTTGCCAAGTAGACGAGTCGCGAGAGTGTGCCTTTACGTGAAGCCCAATAACCACACTATCTATTAAGGCGCATTCTCACGACTCGTGTACTTGATAAACATTTGTTATTGGTGTATACTTGTCATGTCGTGAGAACGGTTTCCTTGGTCATTCGTCGTGTTCCCACTCTCTGTCGGTAAACATAGCCCAAAAATTTTCGAGTAAAAAAGGACCACAATTATACGTACACTTGCCAAGTGTAGCCTTGGCTATACTTGCCGAGGCGTTCAAACGACTGCGCAAATAATTGTAATGTTATGGCGTATGTCCCGTTTGTTTCCGGATCGTAGTGTTTTTCGAGTAAAAATTTAAAACGTCAGAACAATAATAGATTATAAAATATCAAATTTACATTAATAACTTCAATATTGACGACATACCGAAATCGTTCCTTCAGCAATAGATGGAGTGGACAAATGAATACTACACGAGAAAAATCAGATATGTCATATTTTCATAGAAATTAAGATAGCGATACAACTTATAGGAAAAGTTAGCATCATTCGAGAGAAAAGAAAGCAATAATACGCTTAATTCCAGAGATATTACAGTTTGGTTATTTGTCCTTACAAGAGAAAAACCAGAGTAGTCCACGCGTAAATGGCAAAAATCAGAGATGTCCTTACGCATGGGCGACAAG